TTCAGACGTGTGCTCTTCCGATCTCCCCAAAACCCCAAAACCCCGTCATTGCATAATGAAGTAGAGATTAAAAGTAGGTTTTAATGAATAGCTTATAAAAAATCTAACTGGGGATAGTATGATATTATTTCTTATTATAATTTTTATATCATGAAAATAAACAAAAGCTATCCATCCCCCTTATCAGTCAAGTTCCTTGCTCTGAAAATGGTGATATAATTTGTCTATACAATTAAAGTTTTATTTCCCGTAAGCAATCATAATCTTTCTCAGCTAATTAACCTTAGCACTATCAATTTTTTCTAGCTCAATAGCAATGTTAATATTTTAATTTAGGATAGACTGCTTAACTTCAGATATTTCTTTACTCAAAAATTCAATTTCTTGATTCAGCTCTATCATATGCCTTGAGTCATATTAAGATTAGTTAAGCTTCTATTATTTCTGTACTTTTAGTTACATCTTACTAACATAAGATTTAATGTAGGATTTTCGATCTTTAAGAACCTGTAATATACCCTAAAGCATTGCAACTTTTCCTCTGATATAAATGTCACACTGATGATTAGGATTTTAGTTATCCATTATTTCTGCAAATTCACTAAAATATTATCTGATTTTAGTATCAGCTGTTATATTGTCTAAGTGATCATAATCATCACCTTGACTGTTTTTTTCTTCCTCACTTGGCATAGATGAGAGTCTTAAGTCTACATCGACATCTAAGTCAGAGTAAAATTATGCCCCAGTATAAAAATTATGAGTCTCCTTCATCATGCTTTAATCAATTATTTTCTAGGTATCATCTAGATTGTAGATCTTTTGGAAAATCTCTCCTATTTTATTTATCTGTTATGACTCCTATGAGTAGAGTTCCTTTTAGAGTTTGATACTAGTACCTATACCTCGAAGTACACTTTCGAGCTAATTAATTTCTTTTTCATGCTAATTTAGATCTAAATCAGATTTCAGCTCTGCAGGTTCAAATACAAATCTATCAATTTGCTCTCCTACGAAGGTGGTTTAGATTGCATAAGACATTTCTGAAAGACTCATATCCTTTAACTTTGGAATATACTGAATCTTTTCAATAATGACCTATAATGCTCCTGGATTTTGCTTCAGCTCCTCTATGTCTGGGGACACAAGGAATGCAAATAAACTATCATCAAATTTGATAGTCGTATGAGTACTCACTACTCTTAAAAAATTATCTAGATCTTCTCTTCGCTTTTCTAAAAATTAGGCGTCCATGTTCCCTAGATATTTTTTCTCAGGCAAGGGTGGTACAATTAAGCCTTTGTAGAATTCATTACTCCTAAGCTGATTAAAGAGCCATTCGAAATCAGTAAATCTTCTTTAAGTTATGTATACTTTATTAGGATCATACTTAGGCAATTTTGACTTTATTGAATGTTAAAAAAAGAGTATCTACTTTAGTTTCTATAGTGTATACTGTATAAGTACTAAAATAACCGCGGCTAATAGTTTGATGTTCTATTATGCTTACTTGCAAATCATCCTAGTTAAATAAATAAATTGATATTTATGATGATAAAATTACAGTCAGAAATTAATTCCTAAGCAATCTTAATTTAAACTTACATCATGGATAGAACTTTTGATGCCAAAGCTTATCTGAGACATTTTCAAAAGACTTTTCATTTAATTTTCATCGGGGTTTTTTTGCTCTTCAACTTTATAGTTATCAAGTCTCTTATCTTCGAATTCCTCTTCACCTTCAAGCTAGATAAGAGGGACTTTTGAAGACCCCATTAGAGTGTCTTTGTTGTCTAGACTCTTAAAATTCTGTTAAATAGCTATCAATTTTAAAGCAGCTAGAAATTCCTTCTTTTCCGTATATTTCTTCTCTGTTTCTTAAGCTAAAGAATAGATCTAAGAATAATTTAAGTTTGAATCTCAATTATATTTACTTGCATCAGTTTTGAACTGCTAAGACCAGACTTCATGAATAATTGCTTCACCTGATCAGCTTAAACTATAAACTATTTGATTTTTAGGTAAGAAATAAAAGCATTATAAATTTCTTCAGAATATTTATGATATTTAATTACCTTATTAAGCTTTGATCTGTGAGGAGTAGCATACTTATCAAACAACTTATTATAATAAGTTTTCTCAGTTTTGGTCAATTTGATTTAGCCCACTTTATTCTCTTAAGCCATTAAACAAATATTATTATTTTATCAAACTTTTACAATTTTTCTCTTATTATTTCTAATTTGCAAATTATTTTTTCAAGACGGGGTTTTGGGGTTTTGGGGAGATCGGAAGAGCACACGTCTG